CGTGCTGGTGAAAGCCACAGGTAGACACAGAAATAGCATCCTGGCCGCGTAAAAAATTATTGAGGTCTGTTCTGAGTTCAGCGGAAGTTAAACCATTAAGCAATTCAGTGAAACCCATGCAGTCAGAGGAGAATGGGTGCAAAACTCATCAGAGCCGGCAGTCCTTCCTCCAGAGGGGCTGCGCTGTGCTCCCCCGCACCCCTCCATGGGAGCGCTGCCTGCCCAGTGCCTGCCCAGTACAGATGTAGCAGTTGAGGTTGGACATCGTTCACTGTATCGCTGATAGTCTGAATTTTCTCATTGCAAATTCCCACCTCCCTTTCTCCTGTTGGCCCAAAGAGCAGTCAGAGTTCAGCTCTGGGCAACCCATGTCTAACTGGAGGCTTTTGGGTACACACGTGCAGAGTATCTGCCTAGAAACAACTGTCACTTAGAAAATAATTCGATTTTAAAATTACACAGATATAAGTTTCAAAACTTGGAGGAAGTGTGTTACGCTAATCGTTTTCTTAGCAAATTATTAACCAAGTGATGAGACAGCGCTGGCACTGTGAAGCGATCCACGCAGGACCGGTGTGTTCTCACACGGGTGCATCGTCCTCGCTGTCTGACAGCAGGGAACCTGTTGCAGCAAAATTGCTAAAATCACAAGAAATTAGTGCACTGAATTTCAGTGTCTCTAGGCAAACAGCCGCTACTTTGATGATCTTACCTGTGTGATCGCAGAGGATAAATGCAGAAATATTGCAGGCCCCTGTGTGAGTCGGTCACTGAGAGAGGCTCGCCGTGACGTCTAGGAGATTTCTGGGGCGAGAGCACTGCAAGGAGGGGGCAGGTGGGGAGGTTGTCAGGCTGCACAATAACATCATTCCTTTTCTGGTGGCGACAGATGCTGGGATTCACCCTATCTCCTGCAGCCGTCCCTACCCGACATTGGATCCCTACACCTGCAGGTCACTGGCCCATGGTCCCTTCTGGAAGCAATGGCAGGAGCAAGGCTTCTCCACAGCCTTTCTGGAGCATAGTGAAGAGCATAACATGGTGCTCCTCTTTTTAACTGGAGGGGGCTATGTTTAGATACCTAGAGATCACTGTATAAATCTCCCACAGAGTCTGCCACATTTAAAAGTGCTGGTGGAATATGACCAGCGATGTGACATTTAGCATAATTTTAATACAGGATGACACATGTGCCTTGGGTGCTACCGCATGCTTACCAGTGCATGGGTCCTACAAGTGGACAAGCACCAAGAAACCACGTTTTTTTCCTGCCTTGTCAGTCCCGTGCTGCCCCACTGAACCAGGATGGACGGGGACTGCAGGCAAGGTGAACAGTTCTCATTAAATATTACTTTGTGCATCTGGAAGCCACATCTGTTAAACACCAGTGATGTGCTGCCCACCACCACAGCCCACAGCATTTGCCCTCCCAACCGAGCAATAGCCTCTAGTGAGTCCAGAAAAGAGTCAGAGGAGGACCAGCCCCACAGCTCTCACCGGCTTTTACCTCCTGTGCTTGTGGGTCAGACACAGGAATGATTCAGGCAATACATTCAGCTCTACAGTCTTCAGCAGCATTACAAAGAATGAGTTGCAGCATTCACTTGTGGAGATTCACGAATTTATTAGTCCAGGGATCTCACCAGTAAAACATCATTAGCACTTCTCAGCACCTCGTCTCTTCTCTGGGTGCCACAGCTTTCTCTAAAAAGCCTTCCCAGAGAGAAAGAAGAGCTGTAGCTGATCGTAGAGGTAATACTGCACAGAAAGCAACTGCTTCCTTCCTCTGCTGCAGCCCTCTGTAGGTCACATCATCATCACCAGGACTGCTGCTGTCAGAAACCCTTTCTCCCATTTACATCTGAACTCCAAAAGGCCCAAGAGATATAATTCTGGTCCATGGTCTTTAAAGCTTTCCAAGGGGTTGAGGTTGAAAGGCTTGTATGTGTGAGGGTTAAACCCACAGCTCTATTGATTTTATTGAAAATGCATTTCTTGTACTTGACTAGATTTTATCAATAATTCTCCCAAATCCAAAAGCACGTAGCACCCTGCAAACCCACATAGTGCCGTAGCAATGAATAATTCCTTAGTGTAGTTTTGTCCCAAAGCATAAGTAAACCTTTCTCCTTGCAGTTAATCTGTCATGATTAAATTAATTAAAGCTGGACATACCCCCTAATTCCTCTTGTTGATCTGATCTATCTTCCTAAAAAGAGCTTTTTATATCTGCTATTACACTATAATTGGCATTTTGTGTGTTCTTAGACTTTTTTTTTTCCCTTCTGTATTTATTTTATTTTATTTGGACTCCATGAGTTTTGCCATTTTGGCCTTGGTGCGCTCACTGCTGTGACTCACGTATTCCACAGCTGCTGCCAGATCTCTGGGACCGGCATTGCAATTATCGCGTTAGGATCTGTCATTGTAGCTCTGACTGAATAAATAGCCAGAGCAGTAATTGGAATTGCTGATCGATCCGTTCCATGGCTTTGGACACTCACATCTGAGATGAACAGAGGGACTGTGGATATTAAGGGTTTGAAATGCCAGCATTCCAGATTAAATTAGCATTAATTAGTCATTCCTGGTGCACGAGCTGTTATATATAGTACGCATTTCTGTATTTGATAATCTGGTGATGATCAGCTAAAACCATGACTCGGATTCAACTCATAAGCTGCAGAAGAAAGCCCTGGCCCTTCCCCTGTGCCCGGCTCGCTGGAGCCATGCAGATTCCAGCAGATAACCAGGATCCCTTTCAGGTGAAACCCACGATGCACTTCAGGAGTGCAACTCGGGCATTGCAGTCCCAGGTGGACGTTCAGCCTACAGGACCAGGCTAGACCAGGTCCAAAGCAAGAACAGCCCTGGAGCATGCAGAGTGTGGATGCTCAGCACCAACTCTCTCACTCCACATCCAGAGGTCAGACAGTAACGTGCCCTGACGGTGTCTGACCGAACTGAAGCAACAGCTTTAGTGGAGGCGATGCTGCTGGTGGTGGTTCTTCACCTCACAGCTTCCTCCATGCTCTCCCCAAAGACTCAAGGCAAGCCAGGAGCCTGCAGGGTGGACCAAGAGGGTCAGCGGGAGGTTGACTGGGACATGCAAGGTAGAGGCAGCTCTTTAAATTGTTTTAGTCCAAAGACAGTGCTGTGCTGTTCAGGGGGACCAGCCCTGGTTCAAGACAGACTTGCAGTGACGTCTGTTCCCTGTGGCCACAGGAAAAACGTGGTGGTACGGCACACCATGCATGACCACTGCACGGCTCTTTGTGGCAGCTTGTGATGGCTCTGGGGAATGGGCCTACCACACTGGTTTTTTTCTTTAAAAAATCATATGCTTTAGAAGGAAATTTTGTTATCCTAGGAAGGAGTGGAAGGAGACGAGTGAGGCCATGAAAACTTTCTAGGTAACTCCAAATTTTTATGGTACCATATATGCATCCAGTGCTGCTGTGAACATGGATGGCTTTTACCCCTAAAGGCTGTATGGTCAACATGGACATTTATATTTCTTCAAAACCTGCTTGGTTGAGTCCATAGCTTGACAGATATAGAATAGACTAAGGAAATGTGCTGGTTGTGTTCAGCTATTCTTTCAGTTCATAAAAATAATCTTTAAAATCTGTTTAATTTGTGTGATTTTGTTTCCATTCTTGAATGAGGAAAAGGTTCTGAGACTTGAAAAGTTCTGAAAACTGGTATCAGAGTGAGTATCATTCTCTAGACTGCTCTGGGTTGACCTTCAGTTGCACACTGACCACTCAAAACCATTCATTCAAAATCCAGCGACAGGGGTCTTGTCTGTGCTCTATTCAAAATGTTGTTTTCTGTTCTTGCCAACAGTTTATTCTAGATCAGGAATTCCCTTCCAGGGAGATGTGAATACCACACAAGCACAGAGTCATCCTACAACAGGATATTTTATCCCTAGAGAACTGCTAAAAGTCATCCCCTCAGCAGAGGCAGTTTTGGGCAAACGCTCAGCAAGCTCACTCCTTTCCAGAGCGGTTGGTGCATGAAAGCTGTGCAGCCCAAGATGGGGAACCCAATTCTTGCCTTATTAGTGTCACATTTTGTTGCCTTCATCATCAAGGAGGATGAGCTGCCAGGCTGGAGACCTGGCTTTTCTGAGCCATCTGTGAGCAAAATGTAATGACCGTGTCTCTACCTTGAACTCTGCAGTGTGCCCACAAAAACCAGCACAGTCAGGAGGAAAATAACGCAATTACACCCAACAGTAATTGAGGATTAGGGTAGTAGCTACCCACTTTCTGTCCCTGAATATAGCATTTAGTTTCTTTTTGTCTCCAAAAGTGGGGTAACAGTACTCATCTACATTTCTAAAGTGTTTTCAGGCTTAAGGCCAAATACATTTTTTTAGGAATGATTTATTTTTATCTCTGTCACCACAATCCCATTTGCACATGAGGGATGCAGCACACTCATAGCTTTGCGGATCCGGGTGATTCTTGCTTTGTGATCTTAGGTTGCTAAGTAGCCTGTGTTCAGAGATGTAAGGAATCCTTGCTCTACTTTTCATGTAGCAATCTTGCCCAGCATTCAAAATATTTTCTCAACTTGAAAAAATTCTTAGGGATTTCCCACTGAGGCTCAAAGGCAGTCATATATTTTATTTATTTTATTACAAGGCATGTAAGTAAAAACTTGCATATCTGAAAAAAAGATATTAGATAGAAAACAGTAATAAAATTAACATTATTCTTTTAAGAAACTTGGTAATAAATACATTTCCCCTCAACACTAAAATGCTTGTTATTTTGCACAACAATAAATACAGCATAGCTCTGGCATAGAGAAAGGCCAAGGCTGGATACAAGAAGTCCATGTGGTTTCTTAAAAAAGCTCAGGTGATTTATAAAGGTTTGGCATCCTCCACTTGATGCACTTTGATACAATTTGCACTTTAATTTTACTATGATTTTTAAATAGTCCCATAATATGAAAATATGAGAGGAAAATTTGTTTGATTATAAGATTTTTCCTTTAAATATTTTCAAAGAGATGTGTAAACTCATTGAAATCAATCCTTGAAATAACATTTTAAAAAAAAACAAAAACAAACAAACACAATAAACAAGTGTCTTGGTGGCTATTCTACAAAAAATACAGGTTTTTCAGCTGTGGGTGCTCAAGCCTGACCAGCCAACTGGCAAAGGACCAATCCCCAGTCAGTTCCTCAATTCTTTACACAGTTTTAAAAAAGAAATAATAATAACAAGGAGAAAGAGTAAAGAGTGTAATATTCACTTCCCAAGTCATGATGGTTTGAGGTTCTTACACTATAATCCAAAGGTGAGAAGAGAAAGAACAGGTATATTCCAGAACACTTCCCAGCAAAACTTTGGGTCATTCTGGTCTATACTTTTCTTTTAAAACTACTGACAAAAAAAAAGGAAGAGAGATATTTCCATGCACTGTGCTGTTCTTATGCCAGCACATATCATCACAATCACAACTGTGAACCTAAGTCACTTTGATAGCCCAATCTAATATAGATTGATTGATTGTCCCACGACATAGTTAGACAATGTCCACAAAATGTCACAAGCTCTGGCAGAGTCCAGCATTCTTAAAGTACCGATAGGTCATGGCAAGACTTGGACTTGAGTTTGAAGGCCATGTTCTTGTTGTTCTTGGCAACTATTTTGCCCCAAAACCGCCTGGCTTTCTTGGGGATGCTCTCTCTCCGTTTCTGGTACGCCAGCCGCTTCTCATTCTTTTCCTTGCTGTCCCTCCGGAGACGGACTTGCCGCACGATGCCTTCAAATAGCTCTTTCACGTTGTGCTGCACAGCTGCCGAGGTCTCGATGAACTTGCAGTCAAACACGACAGCGCAGGCTCGTCCCTCTGCAAGATTGCAAGGTGGATACGTCACGAGGCATCACGAGGTGTCACAAGCAAGGGGAGGCAACGCGGCCGCAGGTTGCCACGTGCAGGGAGCCAGCACTATCGGGGGAATTCCTCAAGCCTAATATAGGCATGGATAAGTCTCTAATCGCCTGATGCTGCCTGCTAGCCCATGCTTCATCTGCTCTGCGTCACACTCCCTTCCCAGCGAGGGGGGGGTGAATCCCCTCCTGGAAAATCCCAGTCCCCGCCATCGGTTGTGAAGGGAGCTGGGGCTGATGGACTTGTGCCGAGACACTGAAGGCTGAGAGGTCAGCAATGACTCAAAACCACCTGGTGCAGACTCCCTCAAGTCACTTTAAAGGGTGATGACAGCACCCTCCGTGTGCACAGCACAGCATAGGAGGGAGGGCCCAATCCTCCTCCATGGGTTCTGGGTGGAAACCAGGATCTTGGGGCAGCAGCAACTTTGGTGTGAGCAGACACATATACAAAATGCTTAAATAAAGGCAGAACTATGTCTCTGGCTTTAGGGGTACATCTGAAATCATGGTTCTTATCCCGAATTACATGAGCCTAAGCTAAACCTGACAGCTGTCTTTCACACACAAGCCAATTTATTCCGTCTTCTGTCTTGCTGTGAACTCATTGCCAGGATGACTAAAGTGACATGAATGCACCTGCCATCTTTCAAAAGGTTTTTCAAGTTGGGCAGAGAGGAATGAGAAGGCAAATAGGCATCCCTGTGCTCTCAATGAACTCCTCAGCTCAGACTCTTCATTCAGGGCACCTGTGACAGGAGCCAGAGGAACTATGCGCATCCTCAGTGAAAGAAAAAAAGTCTAGCTCAACTGGGAAATAGAAGAGTGGAACAGCTGCAGAGAGAAGAAAATGCTGAGCAGAGGAACCCATGTTTCTGATGGGCCAAGATGATATCATCTAATGCATTGCTGTGTGTTATGCTGTGCCACCTAAGCCTCAGGGAAGACTCTCCAAGAAGAGATTTTACTGACGGCAGACCTTGAGAGCCAGCAGCAGCTTTCCCAGCAGTCTTTCCAGTCCTATTTATGGGCTTAGTGGTTATTCATTTGTGTGCAGCAGAGGGAGGGCTGGTTTAGCATCCCAAAGCAAGGCAGCAAGGAGACCTCTCCTGAAAGGCTGTACAGTCCCTGCCCAGACTAGCAAAACAAAGGGTGCGAGGGCATTTTAATTTATCAAGGAGGACAGAGAACTGATTATAGAAAAAGAGATAATCTTTGGCAGAAGAATAAAGGAGGCTAAACTCGTTATGTGTAAAAATGTATCGGAAATCCAAAGGATTTCCAGCTACCAGAGAAATCACATACTGCAGTGGTCTTACGCTAGGAGCTGGAAGGGAAGAAATTCAAGCTGATTTTATGATGGTACTTAATAAATTTAGGAAAGGGATTATCTACGTGTAACAGCATTACCAAGGAAGGCTTAAGGACCTGGCAGACCCCTGCCAGTCCTCTGCCCTCTGTTCCAGTCCTCTGTTGTTTTATTGCTCTTTTATTGCCCAGTCCTGATCACAGTGTACTCCCTCAGCCAGAGCTCTGCAGTTTGTTCAAAAGCTACTACATGACTCTTAACATTTGTGTTGGGTTTATACTCATCATTTTCCTTACCTGCCACTGAAACTTCACGGCACCTGACAAGGTCACTTTTGTTGCCAACCAGAATAATAGGGATATCTTCTTTCTGGCGTGCCCTGCGGAGCTGTATTCTAAGTTCGGAGGCCTTCTCAAAGCTTGCTCGGTCCGTGATGGAGTAGACAATCAAGTATGCATCTCCCACTTGCATGCAGTGGTCTCGAATCCATTCTCCCTCACGCTGTTCAAATGAAATGGTCAGACGTCGATATGCCCAGAGCAGATTTTACTTATAAAGTATAATATTAGAGAATCCAGATAAAATAACTGTAACGGGTACGGTTTGAATCACAGTTATACTAAAACTAATTCCAATGTGGTGATGGTATGAATACTTCACCGCAAAGGAGGGCAACACTTGCCCCAAATAATTCATTGCACTGGCTTTAGACTGGAATGAACATGGTCTGGAAAATGGCTTGAATGTTTTGTTTTATCATTAAAAAAATAAAGAAGGCTTGCGCTTCTCAGGCTCATGCTGCAGAGCTGCTAGGCATGCTTGCCTTGGTGCCGGGGGTGGGGTTAATCCTATATCTTCCCTGATGTTGACATATGGAAAACACCTACTTTCTTTCTCAAAAGATACCTACTTTTGATATTAGCAGTCATTTATATGCATTTTTCTTTTGGCATTTGACTAGAACAAATTGAAGTACCTTATTATCCCACATGTCGAGCAGTATAATGGTTGCACTTTCCCCATCCACCATCAGGGTTCTTTCATACGTGTCTTCTGGAAAGAAAAGCAGAAAGGTTGGTAATATACTATTTTTGTGGCATCACGTTCATTACAAAAAACAAGTAGTTGAATATGTATAATTTGTTCACAGTTCAAGTTATTGAGCCAAATTTTATGCTGGCTCACATTCAGTTCTTTCCTCATTTCCATCAGCACTGAACCTGCCCTCTGTTCATTACTGGTTGTCTTACTTTCTATGATAGATGAAGGAGGCTGAAAGATCAGGAAACGAAATGTTCATTATTTTGGCTGATATTCTCTTTATCTTATGTGGGAGGGAGAAAATAGAACCAGTGGAAGAAAGAACCACAGGCTGAACATTTGCCCCATGGGAGCAGCAGAGTCCAGCAAGGCTGAGTAATGGAAAATATTTGCTTTCGCTTTAGCACGGACAGTTTACGGGTGAACAGTCACCGCTGCTGAGAGCAATACAACTGACAGCCTACCAAGCGGTGAGGACAGGGGGTTGCGAGACAAGAGCTGTTGAGTTTTAGAGAGACTGAGACTTCTGCTGTGTCCTAGTTCTCTCCCATTTTTACAGTTTCCCACATTACCTTTGATGTCAAAAAGCAAAAGAATCAACAAACCACAGAAGTTCAGTTATTTTTCATACCTAGATTATAAATGCCATGTGACAAAGTTCTATTTTTTTTTTTTGGGGGGGGGGCTGTTCCCACTCATAATTTTGATTAACCCTTGCTGTGAAATCTCAGTTTAGCTTCTGCTTCAAATACTGATCTTTGCTCTTTTCCCCAACCCTGGGGACATTTGGGTGAGCGATAAGGGGGTTGGACCCATCTCTAGTCTTGCATTGCCGGTCAGCGAAAAATGCCAGGCTTAGGGTTCTGAGCATACCACCCTCCTCACTGCAGTGTTTAAGGGGTCTGTCCCAGCCACGCTGGTAGATCAGACTGTGTCTTAACCCTTGCCTCATAAAAATTCTGCTGGGCATGAACGGAGTGAACTTTCCCCTAAACTGTAATCAGACCCTTTCCTCAAAGCCAGGAATCTACATCCATGCTAAAGAATGAGCCGAAAAATATTAGACATTTCAACTAAAATAAAAAAGAGCCCAGGCTTGACACAGCTTAAAATGGCAAGATTGAAAAGATAGAGCTGATCAATAAGAGTGGTTGCCCTTGCAGGCCCAATAGTATGACATTTGTGTTCGTCGGTTAGCTTAATCTTACAGTCAGTAGCAAAGCTTGTCCATAAAAGCAGCTGTATTCCCTCTGCGAGTTGGCTATCCTGAAACCATCTTCTCCTGTAATAAAATTTCCAGTTTGCAAGCTAAAGTTTGGAGAACAGTTTCTCCAACTGACCGAGCATCTGCGTGGCAACAAGGTCTGTATGTACCAGTGGAAAACATCCAGAGGACTCCTTCTCCACTCTGTTACACATGGAGAGGCTACAAATATGTCATCACATTCCTCAAAAATATTATGCCCAAATGGTCATATTCAGCACTGATTTGCACCTTGGTCAATCCTAAGGAACTTCCACAGGATATAGGACACACTGAAAGTGAGCAATTAGTTCATCTCATGCTTATTTTGAAGCTGACACTAAAAAAGGAGAGATAACAACAGCAAGTTTTCCAATACCTCAGCAGAGCTGGCCTTGAAAATCTGTCACTGCTACACTCCAAGTGATATTGCTGGGAGTGCGAAGGAAAGAGGAAAGCGTATGGCTTCATGGCAAAGCAAATCAGCTGCATTTTCTGACTGCTTGCCCAAGGGTCCTACTCTAGTTCGCTCGAGTAGCACTAGGAAAGCTTTTATCAGGGATACTCCAGGTTGAGGATCTGGTGTGATTATGGGAAAGTTGGTGGTAGAAGCTAAAGAGAAAGCCCACGTGAATAACTGATTGAGAGTCACTGCAGCATGGGGAACTTCAACTCCCCCAAAGGCACAAAGATTTTTGCCCCCAGTCTGTGACAGCAGGGAAAATGTGGGTCTGACCTTCCTGTTGCTGGACTGTATTAAATCTTGGGGAAAACCTCTCCTAACTGGAGAGTTAAAGACACAAAAAGCTATCCTGCCTGTGCTCCACTGAAGGCTGGAAGAGAAGCCCAGAAACTGTCTGTGCTGGCGCTGGCACCATCACCCCAAAGGAGGGCGGGCAGGAGAGGGAAGGGGCACGGGAGTGACGAGGAAAGTCCTGCGTACTGATGAGCAAAACCAGCCGGTAAACTGTGTGTCCTCCCAAGGTGACAGCGTCTGCGTCCTTAGAGCCACAGCAGATTTCTGTTGCGGCAAACCCTTCCACATCAACATCTTGCATACAATATAGCTCAGGACTTGGTGCCATGGCTTCACCTTCTGCATGATCTGATCTTTGGGATTAAAGACATTTTGCAAACCTAAACAAAGCAGAGGAGGATAGCAAGGGGGAAGCATCAAAGAAAACCCTACAGCTTGTGACTTTTCCCCCTGTTTGGGCCATATGGAATTTTCCTACACTGCCAAAGGACCTTTATCTGTTTTTCCCCCGGGGGAACCCATGCTGTGCAAGTAACGTGAAATGAGGAGGAGACATATTTTACTCAAACTCCATACAGCCTACGCTGAGGCAATTTGTTTATATAAAGAAAAGCTGACATGACTTCTAATGGCAAATATTTTGGAGCTGACTGAAGGACTGAGCAATGGCTTTTCTGTTCTTCCTTATGTATTATTTCTAAGCATTTCATTCTCGTAGACCGTAAGGACCTTTAGTTGTTTTCTCTCCCCCATAGAAAGCTGGGGTCAGCCCCGTGGAGCCAGTGGTGTCACAAATGTTGGACCAGCATGAAAGCTGAACCAGCCTGTTGTGTAGCATCACCACAGGCAGGAATGAAGCAGCTTCCAACAGGTATTTTGGAATGAAACAGCATGGAAATCTGAATTGTTCTCTTTCAGAGGTTTTCAGTCATTGTTGGCGAGTATCTTACTCATCTTATTTTGCTTTCTTGTTTTCTTAGGAAAGATGGATGAGTTGAATCAGTTTTGATGATCAGATCCAAATGTTTGTTACCTCAATTTTTGATTAAATGGCCTCTCTGTTTTTCTATGCCAATTACTACTGGCAGAGCTGATTGATTGCAAGCAAACACAAACACCCCAGGACATAACGACCTACCTCCCAGCACCTCACAGTCACTGTCGATGCTGTCATGCACCCCAGCAAAGATGTTGGCTAGCGAGGACTTGCCTACACCGTGCTCCCCGATCAGCACCACTCGGTAGCAATTGCTGCCAGACTCAGAGGAGATGACAGAGTCAGACGACTCTGAGGACCAGCTCCTCCTGTAATATTCATCAGGATTTATGGTGTAGCGCTTCTGTGGGTTGTACTCATTGGAGTCTTTCTGGACCAGCAGATTCTTTCCGTCAGCAGGGATGCTCCATCGCTGCTGCTGGTGCAGGCTGCTGTTGTGGGTGCGACGCATGGTAACGTTGTTGAGGGTCATTTTTTTAGCCCTAGAGAGAAATAGGGAAATCACAAGCATTACCCACAAAACATTTAGAAACACATTGACACTCTCTTATTAACTTCGAGGCAACACATCCTGCTCTTCTATAGGGATCTAGTATGCAACAGAAGAAAAATGAGTGAGTCAGAGGCTGTTTCCAAGGGATGATGCCACCCTCACGTGCTAAACCCTATCTTTGTTTAGCCTTTACAAGCTCACGCTGCGCTAGGTGCAGCCCAGCCCTGGAGCGAATGAGGCATCGCTGTGTCCCAGGAGGAGAAGGAAAGGGCAGCGTTCACCAGAGCTGTCCTACAAGGGAGCTGCGTTCCTGCTAAAAAAAGCAGCACCTCCAGGGAGGGCTCCCCATCCCTTGTGATTAACCGGGGGCAAACAGAGGCACCGGTCCCAACTGCCTCCAACTCCCAATGCAGCTGGACGTGTAGCATCCTTTCACATTGTCTCAGTTAAGAGCTGAAACTTTTGGGAATGCAATAAGGCATCACTCGCTGCACCCTTAGACAACCCTGATGTAAGAAAAGAGCCATGCAAGCAAGTCTTGCTATGATGGGGTGGATTTGGGTTTTGTCTATGGCGAGGCGAACAAAGAATGACTCTGCTTCAGACAGTGACTTTTTGGCTGGTAAGAGAGAGGACACAGAGTCCAACAGCTTTTCTGAGGAGGTACAGGTTCTGGCCGTTACAAGAGGTAGCGCTGGGAGAGAAAGCTCATAAATTTACAGATATTAAATCGATAACTTCATTTACTGCACAATCAGCTAGATAGGTTCACTCTTCTTATCTAAGCATGGCTCTTAATTACATTTCGCTCAGCAAACTCTATTTTGCCTTGCTTGGAGGCAGAGGACAGTGATGTCATTCTCACGGGCCAACAGCTACCATTTTTAGGAAAGTTGCTTTGATGCATTCCAGTTCCCAAAGTGACAGTTATTTAGACATTTTGCTTTTTGCCATATATCTGATGTTTCTCAGCTCATTTCTCCATAGCAGTAAACAGGATAATTGTCCGTAAAATGCACCCAGCCACTTTCAAGCCTGAATAATAGGTGGTGAACATAAAAAAGTACAGCAAAGCATCAAAACAACACCTACAAATTGCTATTCCTTTTCACACAGAACTGTCGGAAAACTTCTGTGACTAAATGCACAGCAGGACATAGGACAAATATACAGAAAAAGCACACTCTGTCTGAACTTATTACCCCATACGCAATGTTTTCTCTGTGATGCGCAGTACTTAGGGGCAAAATGAGATCGTTTGCACGGTCCTAATCACAGTAACTTTGTCAGCAAGAACTACAGCTAAACTAGAAATCACACACCAAGCAAAGGCTGCTTCACAAACAAAATGAAATATTTACGGTGGTTGAATTTTAAAATGCATTTTTTCCTTGCAGTTTCCCCGCTGAAAAGACCAGATAAGAAAAGCCAGCTCCGATTCAAACAGAGCCTAACTCACAACCTGCAATAAACAGTCACTCACTAAACCCATCACATACATGAACATTTCACGATTTCGCCCCTAACAAATTATCAACCTTCATCAAACAAAGCCAAACGAGTCCCTGTCACACACCACGTTCCCAGTTCAAGCTGGTTTTGATCCCCCGTACTGTATTTAGCTGTCTGGGTCTCTAGAACCGACAGTAAAAGCCTGGGTCCGAACCAACGCTGCCTTACTTCTGCCAGGCTCCTCCAGGCACCGGCTCCTCTGCCCACGCTGCCCTTGGCTCTCGGTGGGCTGCAGTACGCTGAGCTGCTCTGCCGGAGTAAATCCTCTCCTGCTTTGGGGCTGCCTCTTTAATTCTTTCTCAGCAAACCTGGTTTATATTAAGCCCATCTGATTAGAGACAGGGCTTTTCCGTGACGCGGTTGGCCTTTCCATACAACAGCCAGCCCCCAGCTGGGAGGAAGCAGACATGCAGAAGAGCAAAAACTTGCAAACAATCTCAAAAGACTTACTCAAAATCATATGATTGTCTTAATATTGCCAGTAAAATAAACACATTTGGTTCTTGCATGATGAAAACAGGAAAGTGGAAAAAAAAACCAAAATAATACATGCTATTTTGCCTCACTCAGGTTTTCATTCAAATGTTATTAAAATTAATGGTGTTTAAAAAAACTACATGTTTCATTAATGCATAAAATGCTGTAAATATATTATGTTCTCTGCAAAATACACTTAACCCCTTGCTGGACAAAATGTTTCTTTGGAATAAAATATCTGAATGTTATTTTGGAATTATCTTAAAGGTAGTAATCTTACCCCTTTTTTTTGTTTTGTTTTGCTTTGTTTTTAAAAAGCTCTAATATATACAATCCTATTTTTCTCTGTCAGCCCCCAAGTGACTGCACCCAGTTTCCTGAACTGTGTAATCAGCTCTCACTTCTGCTGCAACACTTTACTAGTAAGGGCTTGAAAAAACACCCAACTACAAATTCCGTGTTACTCCAGCTGGATGGTGGCAGAGATGCATCAGAACACACAAAGTCTGCACAAAGTCGGAGTAGCACGGTGCTGATGCTGTCCACAGGAAAGATGAATATATAGTGTATATGTCACAACCCCAGGGTCTGCTCCTCAAATTTTTTTAATCTCATAGCTCATTGGCAGAAGAAATTTTGCCAGAAGGAAAAAAAAATCCGAACTGTAGTGTGTGCTGCCGGGTGACACTTCAAACAATGTATGCAAAATACTTCTTGCTAACAAATGAAGAGTAATAAACTTCCACGGAACTACTCAGTAGAGGTACCACAACTTATATAAAAGTATATGGAATCTCTATAGTCAGCTGTCAATTATCCAGACTCTGGATTAACTATGATGAGCTCAAAACTAAGCTCCTACAGCTTTCCTTTATATTTATAATCTCCTAGTTACTCTATCAGTGACTGAATCGAATAAGTGACTAATTCTTATCCCGCACGTAGGAAGGCTGAACAACTTCATTTCTGAGCAGAGGAAAGAACAGTTTTTTCATAAGCCCATTCCTCTCATCCTTCTTGCTACAGGCAAACAAGTCTTTAACTGACAACGTACCTTTATTGAAGGGAGCAGTGAGATACAGAAAATAACATCTCTTGCTATGATTGCAGCCTAGCACTTATTTCACATTCCTCTGCTGTAAAATTTATTGGTTTTCTCCTGAAAAAGCAGACTTTTATGAAATTCTTCAACTGAAATCTGCTTGCTGTGTTTCCCCTTTGGCTTTATTGCATTCCTGTGTCTTTCATGAGGATTTTCAGGGACCTCCTAAGCCTATTTTCAAGTTTGAAGAGCCAGGAGCTTTTCCCAAAGTAACATGATCTCATCTATGTACATGGAAATTATTCAGATCTACCAAGGGGAGAATTGAGCAAAAATATGTTCTGATTTTCCTTCACCTGTGTTTCAGCACTTGGCAGCAGCTGAACCGGCCTCAAGTCCTGCATCTCCACCTCGCCTGTCTCTTGCACATCAGGCTCTGAGTCTTTGCTGCCGAGTGATAATCCCGAAGAGCACAAAGTGCCACGTCCCTCTGTGTAGGAGGTACAGAGTCGCCTTTAATACTTACTGCACAAAATGCAACAACTTCTCTGTCAGGGAAGGTTTAGGGCATGGCCAGTGGTTTGCAAAAAGACTTCTGCTGTTGGCATACTCAACTGAAGCTGCTCATTTGTTTGAAAAATGCTGGAAATCATGAAGGTGAGTGGGTGTTTGGAGTACTGTCCTCTGCACCTCGGGTTCACTTAGCTCTCTTTAAGTTCTCCGTAATTTGTCACTGTGAGTAAAAGAGCAAAACCTGTCCACTGCAGGACTGGAGAGATTTATGGCCACCCTGATCTCAGCAGAACTGTACGCTCTAATGTCTCACCCAAATGTTTAACGTATATCATAGCAGAAAACGCAGACAGCAGAAATAAACCAAAGTCAGAAAAACTTTTGTGTTTAGTTATGGTTAGTGTTAGATTAGGAATTTCTAGACATCATCTTCCATATCCTCTTCATAAAATTCAGGGCAGATAAAGAAAACACGGCTCTCCAGCGACCACACAATATATCTCTTCTATAAAGCCATCCATAAGGGTTGTCCCAACTGTGGCATGAAGTGCTTGCACTTCAGAAACTTGCACATGTGTTTTCCTTTGTACTGCCTCTTCTGAGCCTCTTCTCGTTTTCCAACTGGACAATTAACTCTCCAGGTCCCGTTCTGTACTACTGTCTGCCTCCACATGATGAAAAGCTCTCGTTCCTCAGAGAATGCCATCAGCATTCATGAATTTCAATCACTATATCTGTGGGGAAAACTATTCCTTTTTTTTTTTTTAAATCTGGGGAGAGGTGCAGCATTTTCAGACTCCTGGTACTCACTTGCAAGGCATAACAGCAGGTTGATTAATGAAATACATGAACTGAGCCCTTCTCAATAGGACTGATTATAGGCTTGATTTCCAAATACAATCGCATAGATCAATGGAGGGTGATGCGGTCCTGGACTGCTCAGCCCTCTTGCGCTCTTCACCGGTCAACACTTCTGCAATCCAGACTCCCTGAGACACCAGCACAAGAAGGGACAAACTGTAAGGTCAGGTGCTGTCGTAAAGCACACGAATACTCTTTTCACTCATCTCTGCTTCACTAATCATGTCTTAAAGGAATGCTCCCTGCAGCCAGGATGAAGTAAACATCGCAGAGTAACAGCTCTGCAATCCTTCTCCAACCAGTTACAATTAGACTAGGTGATACCCAGAGCAACTAGGCAGAAATTTTCCATTGGATATAAAACAGCAGTGGTTTTTAGCTGACACTTAATTAGCCATTTTGTATTTATGTATGTGAAGGCAAAAGTAGTTCCTCAAATCACCTTCTGGCATAAGGGTTGTGCACAGAGAGGACCTCAATCAACTTGGAGGGGGAGGGAAATGCAAGGGCGGGGGGGGGAGTAAAAAAAAACCCAGAAAAACACAATTAGGTTTATTTTAATGTAAATTCAATGCAGAGTGTCT